AGACGGGATGGCCCAGACATGAGACTCAGACTCCCATCGCATAGGACTGTGCGGAATCCAACCAATGTCCATGAGCGTGGCAACAGTAGCACCAATAGGGCCCTTGACGGCCCTCCACCGTCGAGTCCCTGCCAATCGCAACCAAGAAAAATCTTGCCCCAACTTGCAGCAATTCGAGCATGGAGATCAGGATGCTCTCGCCACATCTTCAGCCAAGCCGCCAAGTGTTCACGCCGAAGGACCTTAGCAGGATCACGCCTGCCAAGAGCAGCAGCAATGGAAGACGTGAGACAACGACCAGGGCCAGAACCAACCGCACTCTGAGCCGCCTGCCGCCTCAACTGCACCAATAGATGACGAGGGACTCCATGCGCTTGATGAGCATAAGGCCCTTGCGGCTTCGCCCCTGTAGACCACAGCGCACTGGTGACCTTGCGGAGCTTGGCGTGCTTACGCGTTCGACGAATAGCCATGGCCCGAGACTTGGCTCTCATGGCACGATCCAAAGCTTTGTGCCGGGAACGGTATCTGCCAGCAGAAGCATGCATCCCAATATCCACCGCATGCCGAACTGCAGTGACTGGAACTCCCGCGCGTCGAAGCCCATTGCTAACCTTGAGAGACAAGGAGTCTGACGAGGAGATCACCACAGTCTTGGGGCTAACCGTTAGTCCAGATGAAACAAGGTCTTTACACAACGAACTCCCCGATTCCACAAGAAGGTCGCCCTCAACACAGTGTCGTCCACGAAGGTGCGCGACATGATTTGGCCTTCGAAGCGCTGCTGGGCACGCTGAAGAATTGGCCCTAAGAAGGCCTTCGCAAGCCGACCACCATTCAAGGAACCAGCCACAACACTGCGCTGCGGCAAGATCTGCTTGCCAATAGATTCTGATCCTTCAGGTGGCGGGGGGCCATGAACATCTGAACTTCAAGGGCCAGAATTTGAGGAGGAAGCCCTTGCTGCAAGGCTGAGACACATAGTAACGAGAAAGACAAGCGGTCGTAGAATTTTTCCAGGTCCAGTAGCAGCGTAGACGAGGCAATTCCCATCTCGCGGCAACTTTCGCCCATGCAAGAACGGATTAGCGCTGCCTGAAGCGCCGACGATCCACGAACAGCCGTGTCCCAATGCTCCTCGAGGGCTTCGCTCCAATCTAACGTGTGCTGGCTGCGCACTCGGGCCCACAGCCGGACTAGATGGGGCAGCAACCCCAAGATGCGATCACCTCCTCTAGGTTTCGGCAGAATTGAAGCAATGACCATGAATACTTGCTGTGGCCACAAGCATCTAGATTCAACAGCATGAAGTAATCCGATCAACTCAGCTTTGGCTGGCTCATGGAGTCGCTGCAACTCGATGGGGCCCAGGGAATCCACTCCTTTGGCTTTATTGGCGTTGGTGCGCGACAGGACTGCTTCCAAAGCCTCAGGAGTGATGTCCTCCAGCGGAGCTGCCCGAGCCCTACTTTTCAGGCGCATGAAACCTGCCCGAACTTTGTCAAGATCAGCATTGAGATCGCTCCAAATATCACTCCATTCATCAGCCCGCAAGTCCATCATGATGTTGGGCGTGGCGTAGATGTCGTTGCCCCGTATGAGTTCAGCAGGCTTCACTTTCAGGTCGCCCTTCACATGACGGTGTTGCAATCCAGGGGAAGACTTCCACACTTTCAATGCCCACGCCTGATGCCCTCTGCGAGCCCTGGTGAGGGCTTGGCCGAGAGCTCTCGATCGATATTTGTCGGCGGCCTCCATGAGCGCCTGGAGCTCGGAGTCGTCAGCCTCAGAGATGTTAGAATCAGCGCCGAACCAACCAATCCAACCACAATCGGGGTCTTTGCCAAAGGGGAAATCAATTCAAGCAGCTCGCCAAGCTTGCGCGCACACGACTCCAATTCTTGAGACTCCCCAGCTCTATGGAGCAGCACATATCTGCGGATAAGAGCGGTACAAAGCTCTCACCATTCTAAGTGCTGGTCTCGAAGATGCGCACGCCCAGGGGTCGATCGCGACTGGGGCCAACTGAAAACGTAACCATTCGCTCTCCCACAGAACTTCGAGCGATCTTCCTCAGAGACGTCGTGGTGCAGCATCGTGGCGTTCTCAACAGCTTGAATCCATTCACCATACATAACAGAGAGCGTATCACGGGCCTCTGGGTCGGCATCCTGCACCACATGAGGACGATGCACGGGCCTCCCTCCGTATGGCTGGGCACGAACTTTCCGCCAAAGATCCAAGGGGATGGCGAGCGGCGTCGAGTCGATGGGGTGAGCTTCCTCCTCAGGGTACAGCTCGTCAAACGCATCTCGGAGGACTTCCGTAAGCTGCTCACGTCGCTTCTGCTTCGACTCAAGAATCTTCTTCTGCCTCTTACTGTCGGGGCCTGGCTGCCGACGAGGTCTGGAAACAGTGGGCAACGGCTTGGCGATCGACAACGTACGATTCGACCAACTGACCTTACCCGCCTTCAACGAGATGGACAGACCTGCATGCGTCTTCCATGGGACGCGTGGTACGATGTTAACACGAAGCGCATCCGCAACTTTGGTGGACGCGATCACATAATCGATCAGGGTGCCAGAACCTCTGTTGCACGTGACCTGCCCGTCAATGGGTACCTTCAGCTGCCCGCCAAGCTTCGCAATCCCATCTGCGGTGCCCCACTCAGCAGGGGTAACATTCCAGTCGCCAACTAGAATCCAAGGGTCTCTAACCAATTTCAGAAAAGCTGCCAATCGTACTAAAGTCTTCTCATTATCGCCTTTCAACTTGTGCCCAGGGAGAAGGTAACGCGCCACCACCGCAATATTGCCAGCTCTAGTGTGCCACAATCCAGGACAAAAGCCTCGAAAGGGGTCCTCGATTCTAGAAGTAGCGCCAGCTGCGCGCCAATGCTCGAAGCTGGTGAGAGATGTCGTCTCACGAGTGACTAGCCATTCTCCTCCAGAGGAGCCATGCGCCGATCTGCCTGTCGGGACTGAAGGTGTAGCAAGAACTCTCCAACCGTCTTTACTCATATCCGCAATGGCACGAGATAAGCGATCACCTCTCATATGTGTCTCAACAATGCCCAGGAGATCGTATTCCTCGGCCTGACCACGAAAGAAACCTTGGGCGACAGGGCCCCACTCAGAGATGTTCGCGAGGAAAATCTTACTGTCCATCTTGACAATGGCATGCTCAGAAACTGCAACAGAAGCTGGATTCGATGACTTGCCTTCCCCATCCAACATAGTAGGAGAAGTGGTTGACGACATCTGCACCGAGGAGCCCGCGAAACCCTCCTGCACCTGGAAGGGGCCCCTGGTCTCGCAGATTGAGGGGCATGTGGGCCCTCGGGCTCGCGGCTGGGCCTCCCGACTCCCCCCACTCAGTCGCATTGCTGCCTCACGGGCTGCGGTGCCTTGTGGGTTGAGGGGCTGCGCGAGCCCAAGGGCCCATGAAGAAATCCTCGCCGCTGTCGATATCGGCGAGGTCGAAATACCACCTGCAACATCATTCACCAAAGCCGCCGAAGCCATAATGCATGATGAAGGGTTTCCCAGGGACAAGGCACCCAGGGCGGCCGAAGAGGTAGAGGTCGTACTGGTACTGGTAGTGCGCCCTTGCCAGGCAGGCTGCTGATCAGGAGCGAGACCCCGCAGCAGCGGCCCCGCTAGAAGCAGCAGGCCGAGGACCGAGGCCAGCAGTAGCCTTGTTCTCGACCTTGACCCTTGCCTGGGCCAGAGCAGCCTTGACCTGCTCTTTGACTGCCGCCTCCTCCACGGTAGGCTCGGCCTGCTCAGAGGCCGGTGGGGGGGCAGCGGTCGGCGCGGCTGCATCCGCGGCGCCAGGCTGCGCCCCTGCTCGGAAGGCGAGGCCCTGATCTCCTTGGCCCTCGCCGCAGCCTCCTGGACCGTCGCCTGCAGCTTGGCAACCTCTTCAACCTTAGCCTTGATATCTGCTTCAATCTGTGCGAGTTGCGCCTGCGCCTCACCGTCGATACCCGATATGTCCGTAAAGAGGGACTCATCGAAGGCGAAGAGAATGCGCTTGCCGTCAGATGTATATCCTTCCTTCTGCGTAGACGCCTCGGCCTGCTGCGCAAGCCTCTTGACCGCAGACTTGTGCTTGGCCTGAGCCTCCAGGAACATCTGAGACGCCATGGCGACGTCGGCGTTGGCGCGTTCCAGAGCTTGCTGAAGCTCCGTGGCTCGCTCCGCTGCCGACTCCATGGCCGCGCGCTTCTGCTCCATCGTGCGGTAGAGCTGCTGAACCTCACCATGCGGCTCTTTCGGCTTGACCAAGCTCTTCTGATACTGGGAGTTCTGAGACTGCAACTTCTCGATGGCCGTGGGGTCGGACTTGAAGGCAGGGCACGACGCCAGCATCGCAAGGAGCGCCGACGTGTCGAGAGCTTGCCTAGGTCGCCCATGCTGAGGCCCATCGCGCCATGGAGGCCCATCGCCCTGCATACCACCACTCTTAGGCTTGGAGGCGTCGATGGGCGACCAACAGACACCGCACATGCCTCCATTCTTCTTGATACGAAAGTCGAACGCCCAGTTCCCACACGACGCGCAAACCGAGTATGGGCTCCTGCGACCAGCTGGCATCGGTCCGTGCTGACAGACTCTGGACGGCAGCGCGCAGCTCCCCGTACAGGTCTCGAGAGAAAACGTCGGGCTGAACAGCCCTGGCACTGCCGCGGACTAGCGGTATCCACTTGTTCCCCTGAGGAACTTAGCATCTTGAGCCAAAATGGCTACGGAAGGAGGAGGAGGAGGAGGAGGAGGAGGAGGAGGAGGAGGAGGAGGAGGAGGAGGAGGAGGAGCGAGGAGCGAGGAGGAGCGAGGAGGAGGAGGAGGAGGAGGGGGAGAATGAGGAGGGTGAAGGGGATGCAGGGAGGGAGGGAGGGGGAGGGGGAGGGAGAAGGGAGGGAGGAGGGGGCAGGAGGCAGCGTGGAGGCGGAGGAGGGCGGCGAAGCAGCGAGGAGGGCAGCGAGACAGCGGGTCCTCACAGCCTGTCGCCATCGGTGAACCGCGCCAAATTCGTCTTGACCTGGTTGGCGGCCGGGGCGGGGCGGTGCGCGACGCGGCGCTCCGCCGCCCCTTTGCTGCTCCACTCCTCCGGAGATCGATGGCAAGTCACCCCGAGGGCAGTGCGGGAGGAAGGGAGGGAGGAACCGCGCGACCCCAGAAGGAGGACATGGAAAAGGAAAGGGGTGCGGGGAGGAGGAGGGGAAGGACAAGGAGGAGGAGGAGGAGGAGGAGGAGGAGGAGGAGGACGGCCACTGTAAACCCAAGATGCATCAACGATGTTGCATTAAACCATCCCCCCCAAGTTACTTCTTCACAGGTACCCAGAAGAGTCTCTGTTCGCTGCGGTGCATGCCCCAGTGAAATACAATCGTATGAGCATCCTCAATCGTGCCAACGTACAACTCCTGGAATTTCAGAACCGCGAATCAACGTGACTGGTGCGTCCTGACAGTTCTAAATCGCGTCAGGACAGAACTCCTGGGACTTCAACACCGTGAATCAACGCGACTGAGGGGCAGCGGCAATATTAAATCGCGCCGCAACACCATTTCAAAGATCTCAATTCCGACTCCTAGAAACTGTAGCATTTCTGTCAAACGAACGCGCGCGGCGCTAAGGCGAGAACCCCATTTTGAAGACGACCCGCACTGCATTCTTGAAACGGTTGCAACTGTTCAGAACAATGTGCGCGGCGCTGAAGCGAAAACCACAATTTCAAAAAAGGACCCGGCCTCCATCGCTGCTGCAAGCTATGAATTAACACACACGTGCGCGGCGCTGAGGCGAGAACCTCACGCTGCAAAAGACCGACGAGGAGGGAGGAGGGAGGAGGGAGGAGAAAGAGGAGGGAGGAAGAGGAGGAGGAGGGAGGAGGAGGAAGAGGAGGAGAAGGAGGGAAGGAGGGAGGAGGGAGGAGGAGGAGGAGGAAGAGGAGGAAGAGGAGGACGGAGGAGAAGAGAAGGGAGGAAGAAGAGGAAGAGGGAAGAGGAGGGAGGAGGGAGGAGGGAGGAGGAGGGAGGAGGAGGGAGGAGGGAGGAGGAGGGAGGAGGAGGAGGAGGAGGGAGGAGGGGAGGAGAGGGAGGAGGAGGAGGAGAGGAGGAGGAGGAGGAGGAGGAGGAGGAGGAGGAGGAGGAGGGGAGGAGGAGGAGGAGAGGAGGAGGAGGAGGAGGAGAGGAGGGGAGGAGGAGGGAGGGGAGGAGGAGAGGAGGAGAGGAGGAGGAGGAGGAGGAGGAGGAGGAGGGAGGAGGAGGAGGAGGAGGAGGAGGAGGAGGAGGAGGGAGGAGGGAGGAGGGAGGGGGAGCGTAGCCGAAGGAGCCCCACGTCTCACACTACTCTGACTCCCCCCCTCGCGCCTCCACCACGCTGTTGTGGAGGGCCTGGGGGTCGAGGAGCCGCCGCTGGCGCCCCCTTGTCGGGAGGCGCACCGACACTCGAATGGCCTGAATAATGGACATAGCACGGACAGGGTCAGAGCCGATCCCGCGGTGCACAGCCAAACGGTACGAGTGATATAGATAAACACAGAAAGCTGGCGACCCGAGAAGACCGAGCCTGAACCTACACTTAGCTGGCAGCGGGGTCCTGCAGGCCAAAGAGGCCAGCCAGTGGAGCCGACGACACGACCCCAGATAGTGGTCGACCGAGTCGCGGCTATCTTCGCATCCCAGCACACACTGAGCACACCGCTGCATGCGCGAGTTGGTGGGCCAGGCTCCCAGCCACGTCTTAAGCAGGCAGATTCTCCAGGCCCCAGGGAGGGAGGCGAGCAGCGCTTGTAACCGCTCCCACCCCCCCTCTTCGAACGACGGGGGGGGCTCCCCGTGCCACTTCTGGAGGCGACGTTCAAGCGTCACAAAGATCGTGCAGTCAAAAACTTGTTTTTGAAGTATGGAGCCGAACACACGCTGCCATTTCGGACGATTTCCCAGGGATCCAGCACCGAAAAGCCGCAAAGCCTCACGCCCACCCGCCTCCCAGGACGGCCCACCCCTCACACGCGGTCGCTGGGTCCCAGGGAAGCCCTCGGCGGCGTGGCCCACCAGGGCGGCAATGGCATCCATCTTCCAGAATGAGGGGCTGAGGGACAGGGAGGAGGAGTCCAGGGCGGAGAGGGGTCCGTGGTGCTCCGCCGCATGTCGGAGACGACGCAAGAGTGGCTGCCAGGAACGCGGAAGTGTGACGAGCGCGCACCGCATCCGAGCTGCGGCACACGTTGCAACCAGGGCCGAAATTTTCGGGCCACCGATGGCCTCGAGGCTGAGCCAGTCTGACATTCCCATGGCCGAAGCAGCACATCTCCAATATCTCGAAAACCAGAAGCGTTCAGCGCGGCCGAGGGCCTATGGGAGGGGGGGGAACTGAGCTATGTACGACGCGCATGGGGCCACTCTGGTGGCGTGGAGGCGGAGGAGAGATGCAGCATCGGCACCAGTCTTCGCGAGCTCCCGAACCCGGGAGCTCATCTTAGCCCACGGCGCATCCCAATTAGAAGCAAGCGAGGCCCCAGGGCCCAAGACAAAGCCTAAATAGAGGAGCGAGTCGGCGACCTGAAAAGAGCCCCACTCAGGGGACGCCCTACAAAGCTGTTCCAAAGCTCGAGCTTAACGGGTCTCCGAAAAAGGGCCGCCGAGAGGGACAGCCTTACACTTCCGTGATTTTAGAATGAGACCTGCCAGCAGCTCAGCCCATCTAAAGGTTCCCACCATCTCCCTGAGGCCCTTCGCGGAGCGGATCAGACCTCCCACATCGTCAGCGCAGCACCTCACTACGCCGTGGAACCGACGCTGCACCGACATTTCCATGTCGAGGTAGAAGGGGTTCGAGGCGATCACATACATCGTTCCAGGCAGCGGGCACCCCTGAACCACGCCTGAGAGGATCCAGTAGAGGAGGTCCCAAGAGCCCGAGGAGGCCGTGAAGCACGGGTTGAGGCAGTACAGGGTCTGGACACTCACCTGAAACCCACGGGGCACCAAAGCGAGGCCGACGTTCAGGCAGACCCAGCGCTGGGACACGGAGGGGAAGGCCTGGGCGAAGTCGAATGCGACGAGGAGGGGCTCGAACGGGTCCGACTCCGAGTAACCCCAGCTGGCGATCCTAGTGAATGTGTCGAGGTCCAGGACGTTTTCAAGATGCTGTCGACCCTGGAGGACGCCCCTCTGGATGGAAGCCCCCGCTTTCTTGACCCACGGGCGGATCCCGAAGTTCAGGAGTGAGCCCGCCAGCTTATTGGACGTATTCTTCAGGCCCAGGGGCCGCGTGTCGTTGCAGCGGCGAACGATCCTGGCCCCAGGGATTTCCTCATCGGCCGAGAGGTCCTTCGGGAGGAAGACGCCCAGGGAAGCTCCAAACCAAGACGGACCCCCCCCACCAGAGCACGCGTGGTAGAGCATCTCCATGATGGCCCCAGGTCCTGCACCCACGGACCACGCGCAGTAGGGGGGCCCATCAGGGCCAGGGGCCGCCTCCAGGACCTCGCCGAGGAAGGAGGTGAGGTGACGGGTGCAAGGCGGGGGGATGTCAGACGAGTCGAACTCAGAGCGGAAGCGAGATGCATATTTCTCCGCCGCCTGGTGCAGCGGTGGGTCGCGCTGGAAGATCTTCGCCCAGTGCTTGCCGAGGGCGCAGTTCCTCTCCTGCAGCGTGTGGGTGACCACGTCCTCGGCACGCTGGTCACCTTCAGGAAGATAGACTCCCGCCATGCACCGTCGACGCCCGAAGGGTGACCACAGTCGGGCGCGCCGCTGCGCAGCACGGCGTTGTGCGGCGAGACGACGGACATCAGCGGGCCGATCGGCAGCAGCTTGCGCACGCTGGAGCGCAGACGCCCGCTCCTGCGCTTCCTGCCGCTGTAGGTCAGAGTGGAGATCACGAAAGCCGCCCGCATTCAGGAGTGTGACCACCCCGTCCTTGATGTGCAGGAACTTCGACGTCCACGCATGTCGAGCCAGAAGTGTGCGAGCCAAGGCCATATCAGACCGCCGCACCGCCCGAGCCACGCTCCTCGCGATCATCGCCCTCTGCGCCTTGACATTCGAGATGCGCTGCAGCTGGTGGTTGCGAGTGAGGCGGCCTGCAATCTGTCGACATTTCGTGGCCACCCACAGCTTCTCAACAGGGGACATGATGGACTGGATCCCGCACAATTTCTCGTATTCCGCAACCAACTTGGCAAAGAGTGGGCCCTTGCAGATGCTCCGGGGGATCGGGCGATCACGTTTCGAGGGCTTGCACGATGCGAACGTGAGCACAATCGGGACATGGTCGCTGATGCGCTGGCGGTGGTACTCCTCAGGTTCACCGCAGACGTGCATCGACTGGTGGAACTGGACCAGCAGCCAGGGAGGGCAAGCCACAAACGCACGATCCACTCGGTTGGCCGACTGGGCCCCTTGATGCCAGTTCGTGGGCCGATCGATCTCCATCTCCGTCGTGCCCCTCCAGATCTGGCGCCAGAGCGAGTCCCCAGGCCGGCCCTCCCTTCCTCGGGGGGCCGCCGAACGCCTCGCAGACGGCGCCGGGCAGGGCTGACCAGTATCTGCCGCCGAAGACCCAGTGCACGTGGATGTCCGCGTGGACGCTCCCAACCCATTATCTCCCGTGGGGGGGCCGACGTCCTCAGGCGGCTCGACACTCTCAGGCGGCTCGACTCCATTCGGAGGCCGCGCGCTGGAGAGTGGCCTCGCGCTGGAGGGCGAAGGTGGGGAGGGGTCCACGAGTGGGGAGGTCCTCTGTGAGCGACTCGGCTGCTGAGGTAGCCCAGACACAGCAGTGGAGCGATCAGCGGTAGCATCCGAAATGTTGAAGTCGCCGATCAAGATCTGGGCGAACCGCATCGGGTGCAGGAGAACATCAACTTGCTGAGCACGCGCCAGATCACGAAGCTGAAGAAGGTCGGCCTTGTCGATGCTGTAATGGTGCACATTCCAGTGGAAGAAGGTGAAGCCCGTGACGCGGTGTCGAATTTCCAAGACCAAGACGCGGCCAGGGACTTCGCGCACTCGACGAATAAGAAGAGAG